TCCCCGCTATACTTGCCTTTCAGCAAACGCATGTACTATCTGTACCCCATACTGCCGTCCAGCACAGCCCTGCGCTATGGATTTTGAATTTCGCTCGCAATTTGCAAGCACTCATTGGTCAGTGCAGTCACCTCACTAATGAGAAGCGCTTCTTGGCACAGTTAAATACGATTTGGGTTAAGATAATATTTTTTTTGTATCGGGACAAGTAGATTGGGCCTCCTCTTTAGTTCTTGGGCACGTAGTTTTTTAAAAAATGTCCTCACCCCCTAAACCTGTTTTGTCCTAAGATTAATATTGGCCGGATATATACTTGACATTTTTATTTTTGGGATTGATCGTTACCCCATTTTGTGTTCCACTCTTTCAGGAAGATATCAAGTCTCTGACGGCACATATAGTTGACAATTTCTACAAGGATCTCGAATCTATTGAATATGTCCAAACGTTCAAGGGCCTGAAAACCAAGTATGAGCAAGAGAAAGATCGGCAAAGTCAGAAGCTAAACAGGTGAGTCTGATGCCTGCTCACATTGTGGGCACATTGTAGCTGCACATGTAAGCAGATGCATTGTTTTTAGTCAGTTCACACTAAGGCGTTGTGTTTTCAGGACGTTGTAAAAAGCTGCATGTTGCTTTTTCCTATTATAGCGTTTAAAAGCACTGCAATGGTGTCTCTGTATAAATGGTGGTATGGGCCTTACATTTCTAGCTTTGCTGGGACGAATCGGACATTTATGTATTGTTAACTTTGCACAATTTTGTGCTGAGCTGGAAAACAACATTCCAGAACAATTTTTTTTTTTTTGTTGGTAACTTTTTTTTAGATTGCTGTTCATTCCGATATCTGTAAAAAAAAGTCAAGGCAACTGGACTTGCTGTATTTTTCTTTAAGACATTTCACTGGTCATCCAACCAGCTTTCACAATTATGAATTTAGAAAGCTGGTTGGATGACCAGTGAAACGTCTTCAAGAAAAATATAGCATGTCCAGTTGCCTTGACTTTTTTTTTTTTTATAGATCTACCATGACCAGGATGAGTGAGAACCTTCCCAGACATGTTTCTTTGCTGTTTTCAGCTTGACCACCGGAGGGCAATATTTTACTGCTTGCTGCACATGTAGTTATTTAGAAATCTATAAATGGAATGGATGGACTTTTTTTTTCTGTAACTGAAACCCTATTGTCAGGCCATGAGTTACAGGGACTGGATCAACTCGCTAGTGGACTAGCATGCAAGATGGATTCATACAATTTTGTTTCTGCTTGATGCATTTTCCATTTAAATCAATGGAAACCCCTTGATGCGCGCATGAAGACACACAGGAACGCATCCTGATGTGTTGATGTGCATTATGATGCATGCTGACATTCAGTACAAAGTGCATTGCATTTGCATTGTTTTGATGCATTTGTCGATCTCAGTGGAAGATGCATAGGTGTGAATCCAGCCGCAGTGTTCACAAGTGTTGAGCAAGAGTTGGCATTTCGCTTTGGTTTGTTAGGATCCTTAAAAATAAAATGTGTATCCCCGGAATGTCACCGCGGAAGGTTTGATGTGTATGGAGCAATATGACTTTCCACTGAAACACTTATTTTTTTCCCCATATGTTTTCTTCAGCTTTTAAAAGAGAACTATGGGGTAAGTGTTTTTCCCCATAGCTCCCCTAAGGGTCACAGGAGGACATATACTAGCGTCCTCCCGTGACCCAAAGCTCAGTATATAGAGGGCTACAGCTCACGGTATACTGAGACCGCCACAACTGGGACAGATTCCGACATTAAAGGTTGAGATCCACCCAGCTGCCTAAGTTACAGTGGGCTCTGCCTATCCTAGAGTCAGAGTCACCTTTACCCGCCCTCTCCCCCGTCCGTTCCTCCGGTCAGCGCTGAAGGATCGGACTGGGGAAGGGGGGAATCCCTGCAGAGAGCCGTGACTGACAGTCACGGCTCTCTGCAGGGAGATGATCGAGAAGTGAGTGAGTGACGGTATGTGTTTGCTCACTTCCCGATCTATTGAGCCAACGTATGACAGTTTAATTGTCCCATATCTGCTCGACCTATGGGGATGAGTGATTTTCACTCGCCTCATAGTTCTCCTTTTAAGACTTAAGGAAACCAAACAGTGCATGGCCAGTCACACACTTTGTAGTTTTGGCAGACAATGGTCATTCATTGCCAAACATTCAGTTTATAGCGTTTTATGAGGATTGTGGCTGCTACCTTGAGCAATCAGCCAAATGTTACTTTCCATTTTATTGCAGAGATAAAGTATATCTGAAGCCAGTAAAGCTTTTTTTGAGGGGGAGGGAGGGGGCTTATTAAAACCCCCTTGTCAGGTTTGTTTGCCATCTGTCGGCATTTGGGAGATTGTCTTTCTGCTCCTGGCCTGTAGCCATACCAGGAAATTAGGGGAAGTCCCCTCTTAGTATGAATTGATCAGGTTTACTATAAGGATGCCAATTTCCGTTCCTTTTATTTTGCCATATGCCGCCTTTTTAAAGACATAAAAAAAATCTAAGTTGGCATTTTCTCATAAGTACAAATCTAAAGGCAAAACTTTTCTGGTTTGTTCTGGGTCAGGCCTTTCCATTGTTGAGTTCCATTGGGGAGATTTCCCTTCACTTCTGTCCCATATAAACACAACAGGAAGTTAGTTTTGCGTAGAGTAGGAGAGTACCTTTTAGGTCTTGGCTTTAGGTGCACTTTAAACTATTTTGTGATGATTTGAAGATCTGGTAACGCTTCTTGTTCTTGTGTAGTGTACCATCTATACTGCGCAGCAACAGATTTCGGAGAGATGCCAGAGCACTGGATGAAGATGAAGAATTATGGTTCAATGAAGATGAGGAGGAGGAAGGTGAAGCTGTTGTACCGCCTGTTGAAAAGTCTAAAGCAGAGGACGACTTTCCAGACAGTTACGAGAAATTCATGGAAACAAAAAAAGGTAAAGATTTGTTAGAGGTACCTTACCCAAAACGACCGCTCTTTTGGTTGTAGTCCAACAAAGTATGATCCTCCCGACTGATCAGGCCTGAGACCTTAGAATGGAGTTTTCCCCTCTTCATCATGATATTGGTGCGATAGACTGTCTGCCTTTTCGGCTTAGCCATGGTCACCGACCTAAGTGAGTTCTCCATTCATTCTGGAGAATCCGTTAGAAGTGTATGTAACATTTCTACGCCTTGCGTCTTCTAGTGGATTCTGTGTAGGAAGGCATGGAGAATGTACTTGACCACAGGTGAAGAGGGGAGCATGAACATCATTAAACTTGGGTCCGTTGGGGATCAAACCTCAATCCATTTAAGGTGGATCTTTGACCAACATAAGGTTCAGTTGTTGTCTCGTAACTTTGCTGTTGCTCCCTACAGGGCAATGTAGAAGGTTTATTTAACTCCCCAGTGGGACATTCTTGGCTTTCCTTGCTTCCCTGCCTGGACCAGGGAAGAAAAGCCTTGTGTAAGTAGGGTTATAGATTACTTTCCTGTCTACTTGTGACATGACTGGGATATCAGAAGGCGCCTAGCTTTGCCACGCTCATACCCAGACGTGCCGAATATTATATGAAGGCAGTATGGGAGCAAGAAGAGAGGAGTATATACTTCTGGGTAGGGGGAGCTCAGTGGCACACTGCATAGATGTATATATTTTTTATATCATAACACTTTTTAGGCGTTTTTAATCATTGATGGATTTCACTTTATTTTAGCTAAAGAGAGTGAAGACAAAGAAAATCTTCTAAAAAGGACTTCAGTTGGTGGCTTTAAGTTCACTTTTTCTCACTCGGGCAGTTCGGCAAACGGAGCAAATACTGCAAATAGCAAATCAGTGGCGGCTCAGACAGCAGCAGCAGGTTCTAATGGCTCATCTTCCAAAAACATCAGCTTAACTACCACCGTAGCGTCTGCCAAGGTAAGGCTTCATATACCTGTAGGCTGGTCACATGCTTGGAGTGTTACATGTTACTAGGTGTTCTGTTGCCATTTCCAACTCCTGCCCAAGGGGTCAGTCCACAAAAAACGTTTTTAGCTGATGCTGGAGAGTTAAACTTCCTGATGGTTTGTGTCTCAGGAACTCTATTGGTGAGTTCTCTCTCTACTCATCTGATGTGGCAGTTATAAGAGGTTCTCGCGCTCTAGGTTTTTTTTAGTGTGTATTATGGCAAATGTAACAGACAAGATGAGCTTAAATACACAACGGTGGCGGAAATGGCATCATTCCCAACTTTGTTTCTGGGATTTTGGCCAACAGACGCTCAGTTGCAGCATTCAATGCATTTTATAAGCCAGACACTGAATGGGCCCACAGGCTTTACCTACAACGAAAAACATTTTTTTTGGGTGGGCTGAGTATTTGAGGCTGGTTAATGATTTCTAACGTACCTAGAGTTTGTGGATGATTGATTGTGCCAACCAAACTTTTTTTTTTGAACACTGTACAGGTTTTTTTATAAGCATTATGTTTTCTTTCTTTTTCATTCAATTAAGACATCACTGCTAGATCTGTCCTCTGCTACAGCGGGTATCTGGAACGCAGCTTGGCTTTAGAGAGCTGTGACCAGACCCTGCTGGACTGGAAGTTGTGGGGCTAGCCTGGAAGTGACTTTCGACCACAGGGTTGCACATAAGGTGCATTTCAGATTTCGCTTGGTAAAAAGTTAGCCGCGGATCGCTTTCCATGTCCAGAGCATTTGTCATTGGCTCAGCACTTGCCATGTCTCTGAAAACTCACTCTGTGAATAGGCTGAAGCTCCCTGATTTGTGTGTACTGCGGAGTGCCCTTAATACCCCCACTTTCTGCTGATTATTACCACCAAATGCTGTGGGATAGAACCCTGACATCAGGGTGGAGTGCAACACCCCTGTGTTCTTTTCTACCGTTTAGCATCGAGGAAGCATCTCTGGGCTGATGCTCCTGCCGTTCCAAGAGCCACATGGAATGCCAATCTTCCGTTCTTTATGCTTCCTGCCTACAGTGATTTGCTCACTTCTCGATATCAGACCCTCACCTGCTACCAGCGACTGGGTTTCATGTGTAATTCTAGACACAAGGGGGAAGTCCTGCTCTTCAGGATGCCCCAGCTCACACGTTCAATAACTGAACAGTAACTTCTCAGTCATAATGACCTAAATCATGTATTTGTTTGTGGATTGAATGCGGAGAGATGTAGTGTGCACCAATTTTAAAGCAAGAGGACCAGTCTGTTGCTTCCACTAGTAGGGTTATTAGTCTATGGGCCTATGGAGTTCCTAAGACCACCAAGACCTTCCCGATGTACTCGTTGTTCAGAGTCTGCCCTTGTGGAGATTGGAAACACCCCGACAGGATGTTTGTTCCCCCAAGCGCTTATTAAAGAGGACTTTGTTTAAAAGTGATGTTCCCAATCTATGGATCCAGCAGTGTCCCGTCTTAACAAAACAACCATTAACTCGGTGGAAAATGCACCTCTCCTTAAGAACCCTACTGATAAGCGTTTTAAAGCTCTCTAGAGGTTTGTTCTTGCTGGCGGGTCCCGCTCTTTATCCTGTTTCGGCTGTGACCTTGATTTGGTAAACACTGGTCTAAGGCTATTAGTAAGGATCTGATCACTATTTGGGTTGATCCCTTGGGCATATAATGAATGAAACAAATGGCTGTAGTCCTAAGCAACAGTGAGACAGCCTGTTGGAGGTTTCCCATGAGTCTCCTGTCAGTATACATGTAGAGAACATTAAGTGTTGGACTGGCACCTGCTTCAAAAAAAATGCTTGCTGCACATGTCCTTCACAGGACAACATCTCTTCAGGTCTACTCTGGGTGCCATCATCAAGGACTCCACAAGCAGCATGATCACCAGTCTTCCTCAGCCAAAGAAGCTTAAGTCTCGTCTAAGAAGGCTTTTCCTCGCTGGGGTTTAGAGCGATCATTTTCCTTACCCCGCGTCTGCAAACTCCAGTTCTAAGCCTGGGACCCAATCCACCCAGGAAGGCCTGGTGCTGGTGGCAAACCCTCAGACAAATCTTCAGCATTAAGGTTCTTCCACACTTGCCACAGTAGAGGATGCCTGTTGGCCTTTGTTTAGCGCCTATCTCGGTTCACATCAAACCTTCCTGTGTCATGACGCAGATTAGCAGATCTCTTGGCAGCCATAGCTGTTTCAGTGATCCAGTTCCTGTGGCAGGGCGGTTTCAGGAGTGCTACTCCAAACTGTTCATAGTTCCCAAGCACACAGGGGTATCTGCCCCATCTTGGATCTAAAAGATCTGAATGTCTTATTAGAACCTTAGAAATTCCATATGGAATTCACCATGTCTTTTTTCAGTTCCCTTCTCCAGGGAGACTTCATGACATCTGTGAATCTCATGTCCCCATCGTTCCAGCGATTCCTATGATTTGCTGTGGTTCCTCTGCACTTGGTGGCCCTGCTATTTGGCATCTCTTCTGCACTTTTCTCTGTGCATTCCTATTGTGGAATGTTTATGACCTTCTACTATGGGAGCAGTCAACACTGGTTCTGATGGGCAATGTAACCTTGACTATCCAGTGCTTAAAGGTTTGGATTCTGGACTTTCCGATATCTGCACTGGAACTGGATCTTCATTTGTAGTATCTGAATCTAGTCCTAGATACACCTCAGGCCATCGTAATTGTGTGCAAGAGCACTAACAATCATGTGATAATATAAAATATCATCATGGTTATTATTAGAGGTGCACCAAAATAACATTGAGACTGAAACAGAATTTTTTTTTCTCGTTTTTGGCCTGACATTTTCAAACACATTTTTAAAATATTTTATTTTTATTTTTTTCTAAATGTTTAAAAAAAAAATTACTTTATTTTTATAAAATGTATATATTTTTAACTTCACTGGGGGCTTTGGTGAAATATCTGGGGTCTAAACAGACCTCTGATATTTCCCTTTTGAAACAGAAAAATAAATTGAGGACACAGAGTCCTCAATCTCTCTTTCTGCAACCCCAGCATTGAATGAACAGGAATCCTCTATACTGTACTGAGTGTTCCTGTCCATTCATACATTGTGGATATAGTGTAAGTTACTATGTCCACAATCATGAATGAATAGGAAGTGATGTAGACCACTTCCTATGCATACATAACTGGAACATAGTAACTAGTAACTAGCTTAGCCTTCTGTGACAGCTGTCTCTGTCTACACACTGCTCTCCTGATCTGTTACAGGAGGCTGAGCGGGCTCCTCCTGTGACATGCTCTTAGCACTCCTTCCTGCCCTGCTCGGCCTCCTGACAGTTTCTCTCCTCCACGCTGCGCTGCGAGGGGACACAGGGCAGGATCCAGCTGGAGGAGAGGAACTAGGAATGCACCCGATTTTAGCCGAAAGATGGCTCTTTCGCCATTTTGCCCAAAGAGCCATTTGCGGTGCGATATGTTCCGGCGGCCGACATTTCGGTGCATCCCTAGTTATTGCTACAACTTTTTTCTCACTACTATTAGACCACCTCTTTTAGCGCTTGCTGTGATGTTGGAAAGGCTTAGAATTTGTATACCAAGGCCCTGTGATGATATACTAATAACCAGTTGAGTTGATGCTGGTGAGATTTGTTAGGCATACATTGGGGTAATGATGGTATGCTAGGTCCTGGGAACCTGAACAAAATGTTTGCTTTGGGTCCCATAATCTGTAGTTACACCTCTTTACAGCGCTATATCATTCTTACTTGCCCTGTTTTTGGACTATTTCAGAATTTTTTTATGAACGTGAATAATTTTACAATGTTTTATTAGCAGGGAAGTCTTATCGGCTTGGTGGATTATCCCGATGACGAAGAGGAGGAGGAGGAAGAAGACACATCCCCAAGAAAGAGACCACGGCTTGGATCTTAAAGCGACACTCCTCAACATTAGTTGTGGGTTAACACAGCAACTGATGTCTGAGTGTTTAGTGCGAGTCAGGACAATTCCCCTTGAACAATATGGAAGTAGCCAAACTCCGCTAGAAGGTTGTCGAAGCCAAGCTTTCCTGGGAGCCCTTCCAGCGAATCCTTGTAGGGTTAAAGGGGTTTAAATGATGTGTTAGCAACGACAACCAAGATGATTGCTTCAGTGCGACTCCAGCATCTTGCGTCTGGGATGGGGAAGGAATGGATCATTTAGAAGGACATCAATTTTAATGTTGCAGGGTTACCCTAAAATGTATGTCAACTAGATGAATTAAAAGCGAAGCGCTCTCGGTTGCATACTGGTAATCTTAGTTTTTTAATGGTGCTGGCCATAGTGTTTTATCAGTTGCCTATTTTATATTAAAAGAAAATATATAAAAAAAACCGAAGGGAAAGAAATGATATCACTGAAGGCAAAAGAAAAAACACAATGGAAGTATAATCTCGGGACCATTCTTTGTAAATTCAATTCATGCCTGGAGCGGTAGGGATGGGAGGGGGATGACACATTGTAGTGCATGTTAAGTTTTAAAGAGAACGAAGAATCTTTTCAGTGTGTATTTTATTAAAAAACAAAATCTAAAGAACAGACAGATGTAATAAGTAGCCCGTCCTGCATAACTGCACTTCCACAAATACTGATGCCAAGGATCAGTAGCTTCTGAATTCTAGTCTGGAAACTGCCCGGTCGGCCTCCTTACCAGTGCCTCAATCTCTTGCAGTGTTACGTTTTATGTTCCTTACATAAACAATGTGTATTTGTTGTGTTCTATTGCTTTCTGTCAGCTCCCTTGGTTTGACAACATCATAGCTGTTTTTTTGTTTTGTCCATACTATACATTTAGGAGTAAATTCACCATGGCTATGAAAAACGATACCAAAGGGTTAACACCGCAAGCAAAGAGTTGACCATCGGCCATTTTGTTCAGTAACACTGAGACTGATATATGCAGCCCGCAGTATCTTCAGCAAAGGTTGTAATACAGCTGCTTTTAATCCCGTCATTTTATACATAGGAAGCCACAGCACATTCCATGGATGTAAATTGATAACAATGAATTAACATTGTCTTTGTAGTTGGGACACTTTTTGTTTTGAAGCTGCACCCGAACTGTAAATAATTTTAATATCCATTGTATATGATCTGAGATCATGCTGAAGAGCATATTCCTTCCATCATATGAAACATACCCGGGACAGCCTCAGTACTCACTCTCGTCACGTCAGCAAATCTGTTTGTTTCTTTTGGAAATAGTTGAAGCAGTTTCCCAATTTTGGAGATTTTGTAGTTTTAATTTTAGCTATTGGTTGGAAAGATGGGCTGTCTGTGTAGATATGAAGTATAGTTCTTTTTTCCATAAGAAAACAGAAGTTTATTTTGTATTAAATACCACTGTACTTGTTCTACACCATTTGTATACATGTGGTGATATTAATGCTGAACTGTAAAATTCAGGAATTAAAATGTGACCCTGTAATTCCAAAATGTTTTGGATTTGCTTAATTTGGTGTGTAGGGTTAATTTTAACTTCATTGAACTTCATTGTGACACTAAACTCAGGAGCTGAACCTCAAAAATACATTCAAGTACCTCCCAACTATTAAAAAAAAAAAAAAAAAATGTATCTTCTTTGTGTATCACTGGGCTGTAGACCCTCAAATCATCTCTGAATTAGTGCTGACACTGTCCTTTCTGGAGGGGGGCTACTTTTGTTCCCCATGGTCCCTCTGTGTTGTAAAGTAGACGCCGCTCGAAGCTTGCTCCTGTGATGGACTACAATCTCAATACAATTTAGCTAAGTAAACCTGAAATTATAGTCTATCACAGGAGCGAGCTTGGAGTGGTGGCTACTTTACAACACACACAGGGACCATAAGTAGCCCCCCTCCAGAAGGAAGGACAGTGTCAGCACTAGGGATGCGCAGATAGTTGGCATTTCCATGAGAACTACCAGGGTTGCAGCTGGGACCGGGCTCTGGCACTCCACCACTGTCCTGAAATCATTAGTCTGTATTGTTTTTGAAAAACTGTCACATGAAAAACAAAAATGTATCTAAGTACTTGGGATAAATATCATTTTCTCCCCTGAGTACTGATATGGGTAATATCCCTATAATTTTATAAATAAAAATCATACATTAAAACGGGGATACTCAAATCCCAGGAGCTCTGTGTGCTCCTTACATATGACGGCTCCCTCCTAACTTGAATTTTTCTCTAGTCTAGCCTTGGTGCCGGAAAAGTATCTGCTTGTAGCGAGTACGGTACTTGGTATCTGAACATCCATAGCCCGCACCAATTCAGAGATGATTTGAGGATCTTCAGCTGAGTGATGCATATCTAATTTTTTTTTGCTAATAGTTCAGGTACTTGAATGCATTTTTGAGGTTCAACTCCTGAGTTTGGCATCACTTTAAATATGGTTTGTATTAAAGGATATTACCAGAATTTGAGAAAAAAACAAAACCTAGCTGTTCATATGGATGTCTTGTTATGCCTCCACTGTAAACATTCCCTCTGCGATATGTTTAGAAGATACGCACGTGAAAAGGACCACGCTCATGTCCGTATGCCATCAGTCCCATACAAAATGCTGGGTGCTGGCCAAGAGAGGCACGCCTCGCCTGTCACCAGTAATCCAATGTATGTAAAGCTGCACTTTAACAGCCAGGACTTTGATGTAAAGTTTATTCCCAGCAATCTACAATGTTACAAGCATGACAAGATCCACAGGCTCTGACTTGTTTCGCCAAAAAAAAGCTTAATGGCCGCCGTTGCACTTTACTAGTGTTAGTGAGGGCTAATGTGGAAAGCAGAGCCTACTAGGAGTAGATAGGAAATCTGTGCCTTGGGACCAAAAAAAGGTTCCTTGCCACAAGCTCCAACACTTGCCTAGCTGAGGTAATAGCCACCAAAAAAAAAGCAAACTTGTGGGTCAGGGGGTTCAAAATGGGGGCCCAAAGCACCAGATTCAAACACCATGGTGTCAAACAGGTTTTAAGTGGGGCAACACATTGGAGACTTACCTATACAAATGGGTCTTGATCACAGAGAACTTTATAAAGCCGTGTCCCTCAATGGATGATAAAGAACTAGAAAATCAGTTCCCCAGAGAAATTGCTGGGTCCTCGTCTCTTTACCAAGCCAAAGTACACCTTGGATGTACAACAATAAACTTCTTAGCCTGTAGCATCGTAGGAATCACAGACTGCCCCTTAGAACCTGGACTTCAACAGCCATGTCAGTAAAGCCTGTGATCAAGTAGCGGGTGGCAAATGAGTCCTTGGGACAGCAGATCTAGATGGTCTGGCAGAGCACATGGAGCATCTGAAAAGTCTTACCAGGTTAGCATACCCCATCTGCCAGTGCTAATCCGGAGTAAACAAAACATCACTGTAATGTCTTCCATCTCGAACCTGTGAAACACGAGAGACATTTCAGGTAAAGAAAGGCATAGATTGGCGTGTACGGATACCACAGAGCCACCAGTGCATCCACTGTTGCCGTCAGTGGATCTCTAGACACAAACCTGTCCAGTTTGTTGTTGAACCTGGAGGCCAGGAGGTCAATATATGCCATCCTCCACACAAATCCCGGAACACTTCTGGGAACAGAGATTAATCTCTGGGTCTACATGCTGACGGCCGAGAAAATCTGCCTGCCAATCATCTACGTAGTGAATGTAAATAGCTTTCAAGGCTGGACCTGAGATTCCACCCAGGAAAAGTTCTGATCGACCTCCTTTTTGCCACAGCGAGATTTCCGGTTCTGTAATGGTCAATGTATGCCACTGCCATGGCTTTGTCCGAGCAGATGCAATGTGGGAAGGACAGCCACAAGATGCTGATTAAGAGATGAGATTTCTAGAACTATCTTCTGACATCCAAGTCGACCAAGTGGTTTGAACCAATCAGACATGGCTTGTGAAAGTGAGGCTATAACCCGATCTTGGTTGTAATCTCACTTTCACAAGCCTTGTGGCAGCCAGGACTCACTAAAGAGAGCATAGTTCTAGAAATGGCATCCAACATATCAATGATGTCCCTAAATACAGGAGCATCCTCGATGGGTATGGTAGTCCACAATCCACAGTGGGAACAAACCAATTTTGAACAAACTCCCACAGCTGGTACCGAGATCGCAAGCACTTAGGTGGAGCAAACAGCCTATGAGGGCGTTTCCAATTTTCTTACACAATTAACTGGAAGAGTGTGTACAGCTCAGATGCCGCTAAGGCCACAGGCCAATCAAATACACTGCTTGCCATAGGAAAAACCCTCAGTTGGAGGACAGAGGACCCAGCCACACCTGATGGAGCGAAAAGGGAAGATGAGGGAACAGACTCTAAAATCAGAGGGCACAGGATCATTCCAGGCTACTGACCTTACCACCATCAGGGGGTGCGCTGGGAGCAGTCCCTGACCCGTTAGGGGAGAGAGCATGCTGGGGGCACCCTGTACAGCAGTCCATGTACCCACCGCACTGCTGATCGCTTTTCCATACATATTTAGGTGGGTGCAACGGTAGTCAATGGATGGCAGCCGTCTCTATGCATGACATAGATGATGGACACCGGCACTCCAAATGCAAGTCAAATACGTCTATTTATTGACGTGCATGCAGCAATTTTACACTCAGTGCAACGTTTCAGGGTCTCGCAGGAACCCCTTCATCGAGTAGAACAAGTGCTAAAAATGCAAGTGAATACACACACACCAACCAACCATTATGTGGGGCCAGACCAATCACAGAATACGAATAACCTGTGATGTCATATTCCCGCCAAAATTCTAATCTGCAGTCTCATGCAGAATAAAGCAAAGTTCCAATCACAACAAAGTATTTGGGTTTAGCATATGGTCATACATAAGAATACATGGGGAACAGTTTGTAATCAGGTTGGAAGAACAACATTAGAGATGACAGTGTGTGCGGTCACTCCCAACATTAGAGATGACGGTGTGGCCGCGCACACCCCCTAGCAACCGGGGGGTGGGGCTGAGTCCGCGTCACAGACGTGAGCAGCCTCCCGCCTCTGGAGACACAGAAGTGGGCATGTCCATCGCTGGCTTGACGATTTGGACAGCGAGTAATGAGGACTCTGTAACAGCCTCTCCTAGTGGGGTCTGGCCCAAAAGTAAGACTGAGGACAGCCATGCCGGATACATGCGGGTCCATGGATAAAACCACCAGCACCAAATGGATGTTGCTCAATCATAGAAGAAGAAAAAGAAATTCAAAGATTAGTCTTTACAACAGGACTAGTAAATTACAATTCAAGGAGGTCCAGTGAGTAAAATGTCTTTCAAGCTGAGGCCTGAATCACGGGTCCAGACAGAACAGTCACTCAGTCCGTGTGTGTAGCGTGGTCCACCATTCAGGCTGCATTCACACCAGCTACTGCACTACAATGCACAGCCGCTGGTGTTGTGTTCCCAGAATCCCAGGCACACCGATCCCGGCGCATCACACTGTATATTTTTTGTTAGAACTTTATTGAAATGTCATGAGTGACATTTCTTTAAGTTCTATGGGGACAGCACAATGTGATGCAGTTGCGGCCCATGTCATGTTAGGCCCGATGAAGGGGACCCTGCTTGGCCCTGAAACGTTGCATTTTTGATGCGACAATACGTGTGAATAAAAGACGCTTTATTTTGTTAACATTGTCCACTGGTGTGCTGGTGACATTCCTGATATACATTGTCATGTGCAGCGCCATCCGCAGTCGCTTCAGCACCCACCTGGAGCTTTCGGTAACCAGGCATTCAGTACAAGGAGCATTCAGCAAGGACTGCGGCAGTTATCTACTGTTAACCCTTACATTGGTTGGCCCCATCAGAGTGCCCCTTTATGTTTGTATTTAATGTAAGGGGGAACTCTGATGGGGGAAACTAATAATTAGTTGTCCCCATCAGAGTGCCCCCTTACATTGGTAGTCCCCATTAGAGTGCCCCTTTACATTGGCAGTCCCCATCAGAGTGCCCCTTTACATTGGCTGTCCCCATCAGAGTGCCCCTTTACATTGGTTGATCCCATCAGAGTGCATCTTTACACTGGCTGTCCCCATTAGAGTGCCCCCATACTAACTAAAACTGTTAGGAATAATAATTAGTTGTCCCCATCAGAGTGCCCCCTTACATTGGTAGTCCCCATTAGAGTGCCCCTTTACATTGGCAGTCCCCATTAGAGTGCCCCTTTACATTGGCTGTCCCCATTAGAGTGCCCCTTTACATTGGCTGTCCCCATCAGAGTGCCCCTTTACATTGGTTGATCCCATCAGAGTGCATCTTTACACTGGCTGTCCCCATTAGAGTGCCCCCATACTAACTAAAACTGTTAGGAATGCTGCGGTCCTAACAACCAATGACTGAAGAGGAGGGGAGACCCAGCACAGGTTGGTAATCGTGATCAGGACTGCACAGCTACTTGGACCGTGGCCCGCCATTTGGGGACCCCTGCTTTACAACAACAGAGCTGAAAGCAGTAGCAAAAAACTGAGGAATGCTGGTAGTAGGAGGTGTGTTACTCTATGGTGGCCTATAGCAGGGCTCAAAATTTCAGGTCCTGAACTACTAGCCAGGCCTTCAAAGTTACTCGCCACCAGTCGCCCTGCATAACACAAACACACACAGGGCACAACGCTTGTAGTTTTCACTTTTTTAAATAATTTTTTAAATTTTTCTTTATTATAATTTTTTTTACTGTCGGGGGGTGTGGGGTGCTTCTGGGAAATATTAGGGGTCCAAACAGACCCCTGACATTTCTTTTTCTGCAGCCTCAGCACTCAATGAATGGGAAGCAGTCAGTACAGAGGCTCCTCCCATTCATTCAGACACTGATAATAGAGAAATATTTACTAATCAGCTGTTTCTGAATGGGGAGGAGCCTCTGCACTGAGTGCTTCTCCCCATTGAGGAAATATTGAATGAACAGGCTGTGTCCCCAGTTATTTACAAACACTGGAGAGATCAGACGATCGCTCCAGTGTTTGTCCTTCTCACATTGATTGGTAAGTATCAATGATATTTACCCATCCCCCGGTCTGCCACGCACAGAAACTGAAACTGACAGGATGACAGCGGCTCTGATCTCCTACCCGCTCGGCCATCCTGACAGCTGGGGGCGCGGCTTCTCCCCCTCACCGCCCCGCCATCCTGACAGCAGGCAGCGCTCCCTCCTCCAACCCCCCCAGGACGGACGGACAAACGAGGGAGCGCTGTCATCATGTCGGTGAGGCGGAGATCGGTGAGAAGCCGCCCCGAGGAGGTCCAGGAGTCCCTCCAGGAATTGAGTGCCTGACTCAATGGCTTAATTTCCACTCGCCCCCACGCAATTTTCAATCGTAAATTGCGAGGGGGCGAGTGGAAATTTTGAGCCAGTCTCTTATCCACTTGTGGGTGTCTATAGAACGCCAAGCTTTAAGATGTCCGGTGTTCCTGTATGGAGGAGAAGGAACGGTATTTTTCTGTAATTACATGGTCTTTAAAGCATAGGGACATGTGCATGTATTGTAGGGATGTACTGCATTTCTTTGTTACTTTATGACAATGCAAAAGGCTCAAGCAACAATTTGGGCTTCTGATTTTACTTGACAATGGACTATCAGTATAAGGCCCCGTTCACATATAGCGAATTGTCGCGCGATTTCCGCCGCGATATCGCGCATTTTTGCCGCGCGATATCGCGAGAAGTCGCCGGCCAATGTTATTCAATGGAGCTGTCTTAACTCCATGTCGCGGTCGCAAGTCGCTTCTACCGGACCCTTTTTTCGGCGGATTTTGCGCGATTTTACTTTTTTTCTATGGAGCCCGACGGGGAAGGTCGCGCTACCGTCGCTGGAACGTCGCCCCGAAAGTCGCGCTATCCCGGCCGTGCGGATCCGCTGCAAAAGGTATGTCGCTATATGTGAACGGGGCCTAATGCCAGAAGTGAGTATGAAGCATAAGGAAGATGTTTCTCCGAGTATAAAATAAGAAAAGACAACTCTAGGCAGAAATAAACATCATTTAATGCAATTATGTAATAAAAGTCATGACATTCATTTGTATTTGCAACGAGTGTAACTAGGCTGAATTAGCCTCTTATAATACCCTCTACAGGAGAGCTCAGACGGGGAAGAGGAGGGGCAGCATGTGATAAGATAGAGCAGAATGAAAAGTCATGACTTCATGAGCCTTCAACTGTCCACTGAAGTCAGTAACCTGGCCGGGCTGTGTGCGCCCCCAGAATAGAAAGATACATTTCAACTGTGTATTTAGCAGTGTGCCCGAGTCCAGCTTTAGCTGTTTTTTTCTACACAGCATATAATGCGGCTTCCTGAAGGAGACAAAACCACAATGAGCAGGCTTCAGACCTCACTGATGGACTACAATCTGTCTGACTACATGTAGACTTTGATGGTTTCATCGTGGATTCATGCCAATGGCTAAACTAGTAACATAAGAGTAATAAACGTAAGCCAAATATCCTGAGAATGGTTTAGATTTTCCCTACAGAACCCTTTCAAGGTAAAGTGTACCAGTTATTTACAAACTATAAGCCCTCGTTCACACCTGAACGTTTTGTAGCGCGTCGTACGCTCGACGAACGCTCTACAAAACGCTAAAAAACATAAATCCCATTGTATTCAATGGTCTCGTTCCCACCTTGGCGTATTTCCGCCCGTCCCTAACGCGCTACAAAACGGCCCACGCCTGAAAAGGTACAGGTACTACTTTGGGCCGTTTTTGTTGCGCGTTTCCATTGGGATACAGCCAAGTAGCCTTCGGAAACGCGCGAATCGCGGTAAAAAAACGTGCGACAGACGCGCATATGCAATACGCCTAGGTGTGAACGAGACCTAAGGAACAGCCGTTTTGGTATGGGAACCCTTATTGTCAGAACTAGTATTCTATGCCTGGTACCAATTATTAGGATAAACATTCATCCAACCACGCGGCTTCCTTCTGTGTGTGACGGCTACTCTGTCATGTTTAACTGCGTGAGACTATTTCCCACAAACAATGACTAAATATATAAGGCATACAAAAAATATATATGTATTATTGTGTAAATATGTATTATATATATAGATTTATATTACACAGATACACACTTAGCTTTGGCAATAGATTCCATGGAAGAATTGTGCAGTGCAATGGCAGGCCCTATTTATTAATGACTTCTTCTTTAAGTTTTTCAGCTAGCTGTTTCCTTCTCTGTAGGCTTTTCTTTTCTTCTTCACCCATCTCCTTTTCCTGCAAAAATAAAATAAAAGATGAAAGGAGTTACCCACATAGAAGTAAAACTTCTCTAGCAATTCAGGTAGGTAGAGACAACACACCTAAAATGCATGTAAAACACAACGCACATACGATTCACTCTCCCCAAACGGTTAATGTGTGAACCGACCCTCAGGGTGGCCGTACACTGTGCGAATATTGGCCGCTTCTTGAAGAACTGGCCGAAAGTGTATCGTTCGGCATTCCTCGATCAGCTGATTCAAAGAGCCAGTCAGAAAATCTTCGTACGACCAGAGCCGGCAGCCAATGAGCTTTTTGTTGAAAGAAGCTCATTGGCTGGGTGCTTGCTGGTAAGCACTGTTACTCCCACCAGGCGGGCTATCCATTTCTGTTTCTCTCTAATATTGGGAGGGTGCAATCACACCACTGTGTTTTGAGGAGTTTCGAGGCCTGTGTTGACAGTCTTTTGTTCATGTCAGACAGGTTCTGCATTCCAATACAAGTCTATAAGAATGTAAAACCCACTTAAAGCAGGTCAGATGCAAGTCAGAAGGAAGTCAATTGCAGGTTAAATGCTCCGGTTAGTAATTTCTGAATGATCTTAGAAGCATCTCAAACCGATGCCATCCACACAAGCCCAAAGTCCATCCACACAAGCCCAAAGTCCATCCACACAAGCCCAAAGTCCATCCACACAAGCCCAAAGTCCATCCACACAGGTCCTAAACAAGCATGACACTCAAATCAGCCACCCTGGACGCCCAATCTTTGGAGATATTCTCTGCAATTGTTAAAGAAATCACCAGCACACTATATGAAGCACACTATAAGAACACGTCTGTTTATTGACGCTTCATGTCAAAACAAATAAATGTTTTTGGGGCCCCACAGGGCAGTGGTGTATTTAAGTTTTATGCAGCCCTAGGCAAGACTACACTCGGTCACACCCCCTCCCCCACCCCCGCTCTAAATTTGCCCCACCCCTTCGTATATATGACACATCAGTCGCTGGATACAGCGTGCATGCTTTATCCAGCTTCTGACAGGGTGCATTAGTACTGTAGCAGGGAAGACGGGTCTCAGGTGGGCTGTAAAGGATCTCTTGTGACCCTGTATAGCCCACCACAGACTCTGCACTTAGTGACGCACTGGGCTCCGCACTTAGTGACGCACTGGGCTCCGCAATTAGCAAAACAGTGGACTTGGAAGTAAACACAGAAAAACACTAAGGGAACACTTAGAATACAAGCCCTCACCAGGCCCTGCTACCTGCTTGCTGCTCTGTCTCCATAGTAGGTCCAGTAGTCCGATGCTTCACCTCCAGCAGAGCCCGCACTAGAAGGGAGGACAGCAGCGGCCATGCATGTAGAAGCGTTGCTCGCTGTACCAACTGACAGCCCCGGAGTCTCCTGTCGTCTTCCTGCTCCCCGACCCAGTTCGACACGTTAGTGGGCCCTGGGGCGGCTAGGCCGCATCTCACATGGCTCCGGCCCAGCCCCGCCTCGACCTCTCCTCCTTCATCCAGCAGCTCTCTCATCCAGCCGCTCGACCCAACGAGAGGCCGGCCAAGGCAAACGCCTTGTTTGCCTTGCGGTGGATACGCCCCTGCCACGGGGTCCGCTTCATCAGGCCTGAAATGAATTGAATAGTGGTAATTTCAAGCTCGATGAAGGGGACCCTGTGGGACCCAGAAACATTGTTATTTGTTTTGACACGAAGCGTCAATAAACAGACGTGTTCTTCACTTCGATATGGTGTGCTGGTGACATCTTTAACAAGTTTCAGTATTGGCGGCACCATCCGCGGTCACTTCGAGCACCCACGCTGACAGGGATACCCGGTGAGGAGTGCAGCAGGATTCTGAAATACATCCTCTGCAATTGGACTCTGCTACATCAGTGTCATACCTAGAACCAGACATTCACTGGGATTAATATTCCTTAAGGAGTGTTACATAGTTACATAGTATTTGAGGTTGAATAAAGACATTAGTCCATCAAGTCCAACCTATTAGGATCTCATTCTAGGAGTACCTGTACCCCTGTATATTACGGTCCCTTAAGAAATCGTCCAAAAGTTTCTTGAACAATTCCACATTATTTGCTGAAATCACCGCCTGTGGCAGTGAGTTCCAGACCCTAACTGATCTTACTGTGAAGAACCCCCTTCGCCCCTTGTGCTGGAATTTTTTTTCCACCAATTTTAGGTGATGGCCTCTAGTTTTTGTAACGGAGTTAATTTTAAACAGTTTATCGCTCCACCATTGAACATTTTGTACATGGAGATCATATCCCCCCTTAATCTCCTCACCTCCAATGTGAACATGTTTAAATTTAGTAGCCTCGTCTCGTAGCTCTGGTCCTCCATACCCCTAATTAGTTTGGTTGCCCTTCGCTGGACTTTTTCCAACTCAAGGACATCTTTTCTTAGTACTGGTGACCAGAACTGGACCGCGTACTCCAGATGAGGTCGAACCAATGATCTATAAAGTGGCAAAATTATAGACTTGTCCCTGCAATACATCCCCTTTTTAATACAGGACAAGACCCTGCTAGCTTTGTTTACAGCAGCCTGGCACTGCAAACTACCTTTCAGTTTGTGGTCTACAATGACCCCCAAATCCTTCTCCATTTCTGACTTCCCCAGCGGCATACCCATAATTGTGTAACGCATTTGTTTATTTTTAATAAGAGACTTTTGAGAAGAGTACCTTATGGGTCATGGGTCTATGGTTTTTTTTTTCTATACCACATTTCTCAGTGAAGGATAGTGATCTCAGCCGGGACACTGAATGTACATGTCCTATTTCCCTCTACCCAGAGGGACGTTCAAGATTTATTTCATGATTACCCTTCGCTTAGCTTCTAGGTGACAAACGTACCAAGAGTATACAAATGTTAATGCTCTTCATGAGTGCAAACCAAGGAGAAAAGATGTCTGCATTCAGAGAGGTCTGAGAGACTGCTATGGTAACTCATGCTGCATGTGTTGTGGGTTGTATATTCCGCTATACTAGCCCTACATACGTTGTGCTTTGATCTTTAATCATTTGCTGATTCCATAAACTAGTGTTTTCAGGAAGTTACCGGTCTGGGACACGGTGCCTTTTCTTTACACTCTTTGGGGATGTGTGTTTTTCTCTTGGAGTCCAACTTCCTTGATAAAAGTTCAGCTCTTCTTTGCTTCAGGTATTCAGCACGTTCTCTGAGCTGTTCCTTTTCCACCTGTGTCAAGTTCTGGACAGAAAATTATGAAATATTTCCTTTATCGGGCTCTGGTATAAAAATATCACATTAGCAAAACACCACTAAGGCGCCATTCACATATAGCATTTGCATTTCCCGCTAAATCTTTACAACTGCACGGATTCCGCTCGTTTGAGGCTATGGACTATAGCCGTGAACGTGCAGAATCCGCCATAAAATCACGCTTGTACTATTTTGCAGGATGCGTGGTTTCGTACCGCGCAGCCGCCCAAAAGTCTGAACAATGTCTGAACATTAAAGTGCATTGTGTTTTTATGTTTAGAGCGGTTCAGCGGTATTCGCAGTGGCGGAACTACCGCCGGGGCAGCCGGGGGCCTCAGCCGGGGGGGGGAGGGGGGTCAGCACAGATGGTGGGACTTGCTGGCCGCCGAATCGGTATCCAGTGGCCGACGGGCCCCCAGTCTCTGCGCCGGGAGCATCGCATCATCCGTTCATCCAGGCAGAGAGATGGGGGGGGGGCCCATCGGCAGCCGGATACTGATCTCCAGGGGCGGACATACCGCCTGAGACTGTGGGGGCAGTGAGGTCCGGTCCTGGGCACACCCCCCCCCCGTGGAATATGGGGCAGTGCAGGGTCCCGGTGTTAAAACACCGGGTCCCGCACTGCCGACTGGCATGTCAGTAAGGGGGCGGGTCCTCCTCTCCCGGCCGCGTCCCTAGTAACAGGCGGCGGGAGAGAAGCGTGTGTGCACAAACAGACTCTGGCTCCGATCCTGCGCTGGCTGGGTGAGTCCTAATTGAGGGGGTGAGGGGGGCGAAGGTTGTGTACTGTTATTTCATTTAATTAGAAAAGTGGATTATAATGGGGAACATTACACTGTAATGTTCCCTGTTATAATCTATTTCTCTGATTAAAATGATTACAGACAGGCCTCTGTTCTATCAAAGTTTATGACTACGTTAGAATGTGTGACTGGTCACGTGGTCACACATTTTAAATTAATCCCGCCCAGTTTTTTGGCGGTGGAATGTGTGACCGCCAATAGGTCAATCATTCCAACACTTTGTCAGCTGTTCCAGGGCAGATCGGCATCACAAATGGTACCCCGTTTCCCCGAAAATAAGACCTAGTACTATTTTTGGGAATTGCAAAAATATAAGACTTACCCCGAAAATAAGACCTAGTTGTGACCATTCCCAGGGCCAGTGGTGGCATAAGGGGGAATTTGAAGAGCCGCAGGAGAGAATCAGCGGTATCAACGAAGCCAGCGTTAGGGGAATCGAGGCGGCATCACATGTAGCAGAGCCGCATAAACCGATGCCTCCTCTATAGCGCCGGCTCCTGTCACAGACGGAGTGATGCCAAATGCACTCCACCTGTGAGGAATCAATAGTGAAAGTGCGCTTCGCTCATTCTGGCCAGCGATTGGTTAGCAAATTGCTCTTGGAAAGGTACGGCGCCCCTGATATTTTTGTACATGAATAAGTGTGTTTTGTTGTACATTAAAAAAAAAAAAATAAGACCTAGTGTGTTTTTTTGAGCCAAAAAAAAATAAGACAGTGTCTTATTTTCGGGGAAACAGGGTATGTGCAGGAGAACCGATCTGCCCTACAACAGCTGATCAGTCCTGAAATGTCACTTCTATCCGACTTTGTGAGTGGGGTGGAATGTGAGATCGCAATCACAAAGTCAGATAGAAGTGACATTTCAGGACTGATCAGCTGTTGTAGGGCAGATCGGTTCTCCTGCACATGCCGATCTGCCCTGGAACAGCTGACAAAGCGTTGGAACCATTGACCTATTGGCGGTCACACATTCCACCGCCACAAAACTGGCCGGGATTATGTTACAATGTGTGACCACGTCACCGGTCACACATTCTAACGTAGTCACAAGCTTTGATAGAACACCGCCATCAGGGGGGTATGGCCGGTACCCATGTGAGGGGTCTGGGGGGCCCCTTACATGGGTATCAGCTGTACCTGGGAAGCATGGCAGAGGTGACGAGAGTGGGTGGAGGAGGCCAGGCCCCAGCAGCAGTAGCAGGCAAGAAGAGTTGGGAGGAAGTACAGGGAAATGGACCCCGACGACCAGTCCACCTGGGACCCTTCAGAGTTCACCATAGAGAGTCTCAGGTGGGCTATGCAGGATCTATGGTGTGCTCTTGCAGGGTCTCAGGTAAGTCCAGAGTCCAGCACGCTACTGCAACATTAGACCACTGGGGGGGGTTCGGGGGCCAGTGTGATCCACTCCCGCGCCCCCCCCCGCCATCTTGGGAGGGGGGCCCAACATAAAATCTTGCACCAGGGCCCTTTGGTTATTAGGTCCGCCACTGGGTATTCGTACAGCCGAATACATGCGGACTTACGCTCCTGTGTGAATGGAACCTTATTTTGCTTACAAAGGTAAATAACAACACTCCTTACTCTTCCAAATACATCTCGGCTCCTACAGCAAAGGTCCATAAAAGTTCCTAATATGTGGTGCTATGGAGTACCAGAAAAACGATGTACACAGAAGAATGGGAGTGCAATTATTTAGCCAAAGGCCCAGTGCTATTTACACACATTACCCTCATTGCCTTCAATTGGTTCATGCATATAAATTGCTACTACAACTTCATGAATGCTGTTAATTAAACAAAACAGACCTCATACATGACAATGCATTTGTGTAGAAGGCAGTTCCAACTCCGTAGACACAAACCAAGTCTTCTTCTGCGGCTGTGCTACTCTAAATCAGCAACCAGCAGCACAGAATTGAAGCCACAATCCGGTGCTATATTCCATGCGTCTGTCAAGCTTCATGGTCTTACAATGCCCTATCCCTTTTTCCAACTATGTAATTGAGAGACTCTGACATCAACCCATGGTATCCCACATGTTCAGGAACCGTATACAATTAGAGCAGATGCTATATTCAGCTTTACTGGCAAAGTAGAGATATAAGTCATTGCCATATATGTCAGTGTTCTGAGTAGGGACGCAGCGGTATTGGTACGTATCGGTGCTGATACCAAATACCTTCAATGACTATCATGATACCGGAGCTTCCGGTATCAAGAAGCCGGGAGGCGAATCATTACACGCTGCCTGCCTTCCTGATTGGCCAGGAAGACGGCTCCATGCTCCCTCGTCACCAGGGAACATAGAGCTGGCTTCCCGGCCAATCAGGAAGCCGGGCGGCGTGTAATGACTCACCCCCCCGGCTTCCTGATTGGTTGGAAAGCTAGCCAATCAGGAAGCCGGGCATTACCTGCCCCCCGGCTTCCTGATTGGCAAGAAAGCCAGCTCCATGCTGCCTCGTCACCTAGTGACGAGGTAGCATGGACCACTCAGGAAGCTGGGCGCCGTGTAATGACATTCACCGTTTGGCTTCATGATTAGTTGGGAACCTGGCCAATCAGGAAGCCAGGCGGCGAGTCATTACTCGACCCCCGTCTTGCTGATTGGCCAGAAAGCTTGGTGACCTGACCATTGGCCAGAAAGCCTGGTGACGAGGCAGCATCGAGACAACTTCGCAGCTAATTGGGAAGCCGGGTGGCGAGTCATTACATGCCACCAGGCTTCCTTAATGGGACTTCTGGTATTGGTATTGGCGAGTACCGAAAAAAAAATATGGCGGTACTCGTACCATATACCGAAAAAACAGTATCGGTGCATCCCTAGTTCTGATCCATGTACTTCCAGATATTCCAAACTGTACATGTTTGGTCAGCTTAAAGTGAACTTGAGCTATCCTTAAAATGCTTAGCGCACCTATGTTAGTCTTTAAATGAATCCCTGTCCCTCAGGACAGCTTGAACCGAGGATCCCTACATCTTTACAAGCATCAAGCCAAGGCTGACATAAGTATTTGCATCTTTACGATTCATTCCAGTCAGTGTGTGAAATGCATCAGAGTGGGATGTTACTGGTGCAGATGTGCTCACACCATCTGGATCAATGCAGCTGCTTGACTGCACTGAATGCTGGTCGGCGGCGGTTGCTTCTTCATTTGGATTGCATGCCGTGAGCGCGGAAGAGTTCTAAAGTTGTGGCAGCACCCACAGTATCAGAGGATGCGGCTGCAGAGTGCCTGAAGCGGTTTTGCCATTTCCTGAAAAGTATTTGCTAGCAGAAAAGGTGTCTGTGCTCCAGCACTATTGTTACTTGTAGACATCTTTCTGGCTAGGTTAGGGGCACTTTAAGAAAATACTCATTGAAAATGGTACTTACAGTGACAGAACCCTGTATGCCAGCCTCTTTCCTTGCTTGCTCCACCCAAGCCTGAGCAGCTTCTGTGCTACTCAGCTCTGTCATTTGAGTAGCTGAAGATTTGTAAGGATGTTCTTCTACTTTTAAAGGTTGCTTTTTAGATTCCAAATACACTATTTCAGCTGGAAAGGAAAAGGTACAAGCTATGAGTCTCTGACGTAACCAGACGGTGACGTTCACAAAACCTGAGCAAGACGAACACCTCAGTATAATTATATACTAATCTTACCTGAAACCAGTTCCTTTAGTAGCAATATCTGCAGTGGGGAATTAGCCAACAGTAACAGCAATGGTGGTGTCAACGGTCTCTAAGGACAGTCAGCAAATTAGCTACGCCAAGTTGCAGATTCTCAGATGCAAGGCAGTCAATTTTCCCAACACATATTACTTGTAACTAAATCATTTGGAATATAAAGGTAGGCTAGAAAGCAAGGAACATAAAGCTACTGATGGATTACAGGGTTCAGGCATGAATTTTATTTTTTAATTTGTATCCCAAGATTCTGAATACACAAAAAATATACACTGTATCATCGCAGGTTACCAAAAGATAACTTAGCAGTTGTGTACTTTGTATGGACTAGGTGAAATAACAGGTCTGCATGATAGCAAGCACCATTAGGAGTTAGAGAGACCTATAGGGTAACCTTTTTATACCATAGTTCTCTTTAGGGTCACAGGAGGACATATACTAACCTCCTCCTGTGATCCAAAGCTCAGTATATAGCGTGCTATTGCCTGCTATATACTGAGAGCGCCGCAGACAGGACAGATCCCGACAATACTGTCGAGATCCACCCACCCAGCTGGCTGATTGACAGCGGGCTCTTGCCTCTAGAAAGGCTGTGCCCGCCCCCTCGCCCGTCCGTTCCTCCAGTCAGCGCCGGAGGATCGGAGAGGGGGGGGGGGGAATCCCTGCAAGAAGCGGTGACTGACTGACACCGCTCTCTGCAGGGAGATTATCAAGAAGTGAGTGAGCGACGGTATGTGTTCGCTCACCACCCAATTGATAGTGCCGACCTGTGACAGTTTCAATGTCACATGCTGGCTCTAACTATGAGGATGAGTGTAAATCACTCACCTCATAGTTCTCCTTTAATATCCTTACGCGCACTCCATCAATCTGCCATAACTTTAAAACAAAAACCCAAATTCTTTAAGATAAAGGAAACATATAAATCACCCCCTTGTTTCCCACAATGCACGGCTCCCTGCCCATTGATGTGGCCAAACCCCAGATCTGGGGTGAAAGCTGCTGAAAGCGGGGTGTGGGAAGGCGTGTGCTTATCCCTGATAGAGTGTCACCTTTGTTATACAGTTATTTTTGGGGGTACTGATAATATATCATATAGGTCATCATAGTACAGTTGGGAAAACCTTGATCGGTACTGTTCACCTCAGGATGAGCTACCATCAGGTAAATGTGCACTGGTATGGGTTGAGTAAGCATGTATTAATGTATTGTGCACCCTCATCGACAGCTTAACCTCTGGAGAAGATAAGTGATTAGCCAGAAAAATCTTGAAATATTTACAAATACATTTATATCTTATTACCTTTCTGTGATGTTGTGACTGCAGAAGAAATGGAAGTTTTGGGAGGGTTTTCTATTAAACTGGTTGCATTTCTTTCCTGAAAACAAAAAACAATAAGACAAATGACTCCAGGTTTTTTCTTCATTTTCTAATTATTCACTTTAGGACTTTACCTACCTTCCTGCGCAACTCTTCAAGTTCATATTCCTCTCTTGATATTCTGAAAAGTTAAAAATATATATATATGATTCCCATATATCACTTATCTTGCAAGCTTAGTATGCGCAAAAGACTGACTGTTTCTTCACGCACATGAAGAAATGTATACACTACCTAAATAAAAAGTTAAAGTCCAACTCCAGGCCACCATACTGAA